ACTGCTGCAACATTGAACGTCAGCAACATTCACGTCAGCAGCAGCAGCAGCAGCATCAACTGAGTATATAACAAAAATTATGCTAAATAGGTAAAGCAGCTTTCACGAAACTGAAACTCAACAGCGAGCACTAAATTATGAGTGGGTGGCCCTCTCTCTGCCTGCCTCTCTCTCTCTGTGTATGTGTGGGCGTGGCTCTTGGCCAACTAAATGGCAATGTCAATGCGGGTCAGCACACAGGCAGGCAGACAGGCATCAAGGCAGCCGGAGAGACAGCGGGAGGGGCGGGCAGGCAGCAACTGCTCTTAAAACAGTTCATGAACTAGTTTAGTTTTGTAACAAAAAACCCGCAGCTGGAATATTACAGGCGGCTGTAACCGACTGCACAAATACTCGTTAGCAATTGACAAATGAAATATGAAAAGATCCAGAAATATTTTTTACTTAAAGAGTTTTACTAAACATTTTGCAGGCATTTGAAGTATATTGAGTGGAGTATAACTTTTATCGTCCCTAAAACCGGATTCTACTGTATTTTATTCAACTCTATTCTCCATTTTCAAGCAACCAATCAACTCTCTTGACTCTCAAGTGAGCAGGCATATTGTAAAACTTTTCTCGATCTGGCAACGTTCACTCAATCGATCAAAAATAGCACAAAGCGATGGAAACTATTGCATTTAATTAAAAGACAACACACATACGCAGAGTAAAAGAGAGAGCGAGAGTGGGACAGAGTGAGATAGAGCTCAATTTTCCCATCGAAACATTAGCTAAAAACAGTTTAAAGCTAGCGCTTTAAATTCCGCTGTCATTACCACATAAATGAATACGCGCAGGATATGCTGACCCCCAGTGTGGTGTGTGGGCGTGGTCAGGGGCGTGTCTGTAAGTTGGCCCCGTGGGCATTTGTCAACAGTTGGGCAACGACATTGTTGGCAGCGGCAATTGTGACAGGCAAATGGAAACTTATCTGGACGGCACGCGTTTGCCAACTTGGCCCAAATAGGTCTAAGCCAACTGGCACTCCCTCTCTCTCTCTCCCTCTCTCTCTCTCTCTCTGTGCTGCCACGATTTAGCTCGATGATAGTCGCCGCTGCAGATTCACATGAAAAATGTTCGCACATACCTTTTGCGCCTTTGGCTCAAAAGCTGCTGACTGTTAACACGCTCGCCCAGCCAGGCCAGAAAAGGACCAGAGCCAGAACCAGGACCAGCACCGGGAAGCCAGGACACGGCTCTCCCCTGGCACACTGCTGTTCATCTGTTCTGCCGGCTCCTGCTACTCCTGCTGCCGTGTATTATGCTCCTTTGCATTGGTTTTGTTTGCCGTCTTGATAGCGCTGCCCATGTAGTGGTAGTATATGTATGTGCGAACACCGCCCTGCAGCTGCCTTTATGTATGCGCAAAATTACATGAAATGAATGGCCAGAGCTATTATAAAACGAATGTGGTATGCTCTTACAGCGAGTGGGAGGGAGAGAGAGAGAGAGAGAGAGAGAGAGACTGAGAGAGAGAGACTGAGAGAGAGAGACTGAGAGAGAGAGAGAGAGAGAGAGAGAGAGAGTGATAGAGAGAGAGAGAAAAGGAAAGAGAGAGAATGCTAAGAGTACTTAAGTGAGTCAGATGATACATCAGCTCGATTTTATTTGAGTTTGCTTTGATGATCTAAAAACCTTTTCATAGTAGAACTAAATTTTTGACGTAGGAGTCTGGTGCTAATAACTGTTGATTTAATAAAAAAGTGCATGAATTGTTAATTAAAATATATGGTAAATTTTATGTTCTTAATTAACATTAAACATTAAAAGGTTTACTTATGCTCATCAAAGTTGTTCAATACATGATCTAAAACTGTCTGGCATCTATTGTATAAAGGCTATACATAATAATCTAATATAGATCAGATTTGATTCCGTAGTTAAATATATAATTAGTCTGCTTATGCTTAGCTTGGGCTTTATTTATGCATAAAACAAAAAAGGTTTTTCATACAAGAACTAAAAATTTAAGTCAATGCTACTATGCAAGATCAGGTGTGCTACCATTGATGCTACTATAAGAGCTAGTGGTTGAATATTGATAGAGGCTAATCAAATAGTTAAGCACACATATGTAAGAATTATTGTCCAGTTTATACCTAATATGTTTTAGAACAATGCAGTTTTTCATAGAAGATCTAAAAAATTGAGCCAAACTTTTCTATGGCAACAATGTGATGTAGTAGTATAATATATGACAGTAAAGTAGTATACTACAGTCTAAAAGTATAGTATGAATCAGCAAAGTAGTACAATTTAAAGCAGTTTAGTAGTCATAGAAGTACTAAAATTTTCGACCTTCTTTCCCATTAAGCATATAGGAATAAAAATTTAATATTTTAGTTCAACTATATCTTACTCAAGCGTTACATTCGCAATGTCATATTTATAATGCCTCGCTTCAGCAGTAAGAAAAGGGAAGCTGTTCCCACTCTGTCTCTCCGCCTTCAACTAGGCACCCGCATCCGCACCTGTCTTTTATTTTATCTAGATGTGCCTGTGTGTGCGTGTGTGTGTGAGCCACTGGTGCTTGCTGTTCTCGCTGTAGCAGTGTTTACTGTACAAGCAAACTAACTGCCGCTGGGCCAAGTGTAGCATACTTTTTTACAGCCAAAAATGATGAAGCTCCGACTCGTTCCTGCTGCCACTTCTTCTTGTCGCAAAAAAGAAGAAGAAGAAAACACCCGAAATAAATTTAAAATGCAATTTAATATAGATTCAAGCACAAGTTGGGGCGTCTCTAATGTGCTTAATTGTTGCCCGGCTCATACATAATGATAAGCGGCTGGCCCCCACGCTTAATTAACATGACTAATGCAATGAGCTGAGTCACGGCTAAAAGAGGAGGGCAAAAAAGAAAAAAACGGCTAAACTAACCGCTAAATAATGAGCTAGTGGCTAATCAGCGAACGTGTTCGGGCGACGCCTATGACCTATGGCAACAAAGGACAGAGGACGCCCAAGCTTAAACTGAAACTAATTTAGAGAACACAGGGCACACACACACACACATGAGCACACACTCACACACTTGTCTAGCTGATAAAGCTGAAGAGAAATTGTGCCAGTCATAACTCAAAGGATGTTTGTTGGGACGCGCTGTTTGAGTCGCTGCGCGTGTCTGCATTATGGGCCATCATTCAGAGGCGTCAACACGACGACAGAGAGAGAGAGAGAGAGAGATGGAGAGAGGTGGAGTGAGGTAGTGAGAGTGATAGAGGTAGTGTGAAATCTCCTGTGAGCGTAATCATAAAAATGCTGGGATACCTAATCCTTTCACACACACACACACACACATGTACACACACACTATCTCAGTCGCCAAGAAAAACGCATTTAACCATGAAAGGACGATGTCGAGGACAACTTTTTTGTTGTTAACGCTGTTTGCTGAATACGTAAAAAGGATTTTGCGCACCTTTCAAAATATCCTCTTCGTGTTTTTTTATTTCCTTTTCTGTATTTTTTTTTTTGCCTCGACTATTTACATGCTGATGATTGAATGAATGGATGAATGCCAAGGCCCTGGCAAAAGTTTTGCTCGGGTCAGCGTACTAATCAGCCAGTGTCCTGGCCGGTGTCCTTGCCTCACTTGTTTTGATTATAAATTGAAAACTTTGGCCTGGCCGCATTCTACTTTTTGCGCCTTTTCAAAATCAAAGTGTTTGGCTAGGAATTTCCTAATTCTCTGGACATCTTTTTTTTTTTTTTTTGTTCTGTCTCTCTGATGGCATTTCCATATGTTCATATGCAAACCCGGTTAGAGGCGGTCAAGCGCATAAGGTCGTTCGTTCAAGTGGAAATGGAAATGGAAGTTGGCAGGACACGCACACATACATACACATACATACATGCATTCGTATATGGCCATAAAGGATATGCTTGTTAGTAACCAAATTTCTGTGACAATGACAAGCGAACAAAGCCTGGACACATGGAACTTTCTCTGACACTATCAAGCACTTTTCATTGAAGGTGTCATGCCACTGGGGCCTAATCGATATTTATTAGTGCAAATGGAGCTTCCGAGCTCAGATTTTTGCAAATATTTTGTGCTCAACAAGGCGTGTGGCCTCCGCTCGAGTGTGCCAAAAGGCAAATGCATATCACATTAATCAACCGAATTTTAGCCATTGAAATGTTGAATGAAATGGCATCAGAAATGAATTTCCATAAGAAAAATGAAATTATTTGCATTCAAATTGAGTAAATTCAGGAAATTTGTAAGCTGCAATTGCCTTAGAGGCTTGCATAAAGCTCATTGCTATGACACTCGCCGGTTGCTTTCGGAAGCTAATTGATGCGATTAAAACGGACAGCATACCTAGCTTAAGCTGGGACAGAACAGTCCATTGAAAAATTTAAATATATATAAATATTATGATCATTATCTCAACAGCTTTTATAAGCAGTGCTGCATTTTACAACACTGGCAACATATATATTGCTACATTAAAAACAAAATTTAGTTTTTACTTACACCTAACTTGAGTTCCTCATATATTTTAATAGTTTTTTGAGCTAAAGTTCTCATTGGGTCTATTTAATGTTTGCCTGAAACATGCATTTTACAACACTGATCACCATTTCTGCTCATTGCAACAACTATTCTATTCTCGGAATTCATTCTATGTTCTCTTTTTGGTAGACTGCTAAGCCTTTACAATAAATATCCAAACTTACATCACATTTGCACATTTTACAGCACTGCCTATGCAACATTGATTACTCATTAAACAATTCGCAATATTCTGCTTTAAAAGTCTTTCTCATATAAACCATTAACATTGCCTTAACATTTCGACAAATTTTTTACATTTCGTGTGAGCTTTTTCAACACTTTTCGATAATAGAGCCTTTCACAGCACTGGTGCCTTTTCAAATTCCGTCAGCAGCCAACTTCGCGCAGCTTTTTCAAGCAATTTCATCGTGACATTTCAGTTTTTTTTTTTTTTTTTTTAAAGAAAAGTAAAAGAATTGAAAGTGGTTTGTGTAACCATGTCGATCTCGAACTATAGATTGCAGACCAAGGTGCGCCTGCAGCCGCTGGTGCTCTTCCAGATTATTTCCGCCTACGAGCGCCGCCCGAAGACGGCCAAAATGGTCGTGGGCACGCTGCTGGGACGTCGCGACAGATGCAACGACACCATTGACATCACCAATTGTTATGCGGTGCATCACAAGGAGCAGCAGATTGGCGACATGGAGCAGTTCAAGCTGGACACTGGGTACGTCGGCGAGATGTTCGATCTGAATCAGGTCACCTATCCGCAGGAGAAGATCATCGGCTGGTACACCACCGGGAGGACGCTCTCCCGTTCGGCGGCGGCCCTGCACGCCTTCTACTCGCGGGAGTGCGGGGATATGCAGCCGCTGCATCTGCTGGTGGATACATCACTGAGGGGCGGTCGTCTGACCACACGCCTCTATTGCGCCGTCACGATGGGCGTGCCGGGCGGCACTCGAGGCCTGCTATTCACACACTTGCCGCTGCTCAAAGTCAGTACAGAGGGCGATGAGGAGGTCGCTCTGCGTCTCATGCAGAACCAGGCGCTGCATCCCACCAAGCAGCTGGGCCGCATGCTGCCCGAGCTGGTGCACGTGCTGGAGGCCACACGAGAGCTGGAGCAGAAACTGGATCTGGTGATGCGCTATATCAACGATGTGCTCTCACGCAAACGCCGTCCGGACAATAACATTGGGCGTGCCCTGCACGAGGCGTTGACATCGGTGCCGATGCTGGACGCGGACAGCTTTCGTACCATGTTCAATGCGAATGTTCGCAATATGCTCATGAGCATTACACTCGCCAGCATGATCAAGACCCAAATGGAGCTGAGCGAGAAGCTCTCCTATTTGCCAGATAATTAAAGACTGTCAATTTTCTGAACTCTGTATTCGAATGAGTCGATCGCAATTCAACTTCAATTGCGCGCATTAAAAACAAGTGTTGTAGCAGTCAGCTTTTGTCTGTCTTCGGGCGTGGGCTTTGTAAATTTGGGCAATCAGGTTAGAATGAAATGAAATGTACATATATATGTATGTATGTAAAATGTGGAAGAGGGCGTGGCAGGCAACACAAGTTTGTTGTATTTTGTTGTTGTTGCTATTTTCATTTCTTTTCCCACAACATTTTTAACAAAAATTATACAAAATGTTGGCAATATAAATATTTTACTCTTTGCTCTCTATATTTATATATAAATAGTGCTTCTTCTATAAGCCAAATGCACATTGATATACCCTTATGCAATGCCAGCTCAGCAAAGCCTTCGGGCCATCTATAATAACCGATATAATACACGTTATAAGCAGACATTTTATCTGCGCATTGTCGCTGTCAGCGCTGCAATTGTTGTTGTTGTTGCTGCTGCTGTTGCTGTTGCTGTTTGAGCTGAGAGCAGCTCAGGCGCTGTTTTTCCGATCTGCTCAATGCAATTTTTTGCATTCGTATAATAAATATATATTACAGAAGTGATAATGGCAGCGATTGCATAATGGATTAAGTGTCAGGACTCAACTGTTCGGGCAATGCTAAAGGCAGTTGCTGTTGTTGCTGTTGTTGGTGTTGTTGTTGTTGTTGTCGCTGACGTTTTGCTGTTTGTCGTTATATTTAAGCCATTATCAATGTCGAATGTGGAGCGTAACCGCGAATGCCACATGCCGCATGCCGCATGCCGCATGCCACATTGCCACAGAGCCACGCCTCTGGGGTCTTTGCATTTCTGGCTCTGTTTGCATTTCAACTTAATTTGAAGCGATTTATTAATTTTTTCCAATACCCATTGAATAGCAGAGCGTGAGGGTATATTGAGTGCGTATTGGATAGCGGAAGATGAAGAAACCTTGGAGATTAATCATAATCAATATTCTATTTTGATGGTTTGTCACCCTTAGAACATACAGATTCAAGATCTTCAATTGTCTTTGGCATATATGTGCCAATAATTCCTAGATTATAAATATTTAAAATTTTAGATAGAAATCATTTTAGATAAGACAATACATGCCATAGAATGGCTCGAATAGAATAGAAAAGCTAAGGCTTCACATGGGGTTATTGAGTTAAAGGGAATAGATAATATATTTTTCATTATTTTCGCTATGTTATTTCCTTAGAAATATTTTTTTTTTAAATTTTTTTTTATGGTTTTTTATTAGGCTCAACTCTCCATTTGAGTCCATAGTTCTTCTCACCCTCGTTTTTGAGCTCAAAATTGTAATAGCTAAGTTAATAATTAATATTAATTATATATTATATTAAATATTTATTATTATATTTAATATTAATTTTAATTTAATTTAAAATTAATTATATATTATATTTAATATTTAATATTAATTATATGTTATATTATATATATATTATATTTATTATTTAATATTTTTCTATACATTTACTGTAAAAATTTGTGTTTCATTTCATTTCTTCTTTTTCAATAATTTTTAATTATTCTTATAAGAAGAAAATGAAATGAGACTATGAACTATGATATATAGATAGGTTCAAGAATTTAGCAAGGAAAGAATGCAGTCTGGCAGGTGCTCAAGTTGGGATCTTTTAAGTCTGTATCTAGATCAAAGAGGAGTATCAGACGCAAGTTTGGTTCTCATATCTTATTCGACTTTTCTCTTTTTCATAGAGTCTAGGCATTTTGTAGTCAAGCACGCCCGCTCAGAGCAAAATTCTTCTTCTTTTTTAAAAAGCTGCGACATGGCTTGCAGCAGCTGATGCTGTTACTGCTGCTGCTGCTGCTGCTGCTGCTGCTGCTGCTGCTGCTGTTGCAATTAATTAAAGCTGCGATAATATTGAATGCAGTAATGTGTGCCAAATCAAAAGGCAAAAATCAACAGACCCAGGGCTGAATAACTGGAAGCGGGGCGGTGGGACGGCGGGGCTGAGGGGCAAATGCAAATGCAAATGAGCAGCGCACGCGCCATTTTGACAAATGAGGGCAATCAAAAAGTTGCATGCGCCCAGGCTTAATGCGTTACACAAGATCACGTATACGCAACGCTCTCGCTGCTGCCGTTGCTGCCAAGACGTTGCAACTTTTTGCGCTAATTAATGTCATAAGATGTTATATAAATGTATATAAATGTATATTTATACATATAGATATATAGCGAAATGCTTGTGCCACGTGTTTTAATACCCTGCACGCGCTGGCCTCATAACTTTTGGACAGTTTGCCGCCCCCTTTCGACGTGTTTGGATTTTCAGCGCCAAATCAATGGGCGACAGACAGAGAAAGAGAGAGAGAGGGAGGGAGGAAGACGGAGAAAAGTGTGCTGCAACGCAACGAGCTCGATTCAAGCAGGATTTATGCTTTGGCCACAGTTTAGGTGTCAGCTGCAGGCCAAGCCAGCGCTGAAATTACGATTGTGACCGCAGCCAAACGAGCAGCAGCAGCAGCATCTGAATGAAGCAGAAAGTATCAGTGTCAGTGCCAACTAGCTTACTCTGGGCGAAGCCAACTCAGCATTTGGCAGACCTATACATATAAATAGAGACACATATACATATAGCTATCCACACACGACATAACTTCTATATAGGTATAGATATATACGTATATGTATATAAATACATATATATCACAGCAAAACAAATATAAATATGAATGGGCAGAAGGTTGCAAACTATGAAAGTACGAACTCTAAATGCGCTTGCAGTTCTATATGAAATAAGAATATAGAACATATTATATAATATAGTAATCCGATTACCCAACAAAATTATAAATATAGCAAGGAATCAACATAGGCTACACAATATATCGAACAACAAACTTTCTTATATGTTAACTGAATGTTCAACCTAACCTAACTTTTGATGGAGTCAACAAAACTATTGAATCCAAATATATATTCATATTACGACTAGGACTAGCTGCCACAGCAAGTTTCAGCCAGCTAGCACCCAAGCGAGCTCGCATAGAACATTTCACATTAAGAGGCCAAACAACTAGCCCAAGTGTATGGGGAGCTCACAGCTGTCACACAATTCATGAGCAAATTATAATACCCTTATTGGCAAGCGCATAAATATGATGTGCAAAAAAACCACACACACACACACACACAATCGTTTATAGTGGTTGTGTGTGTGTGTGTGTGTTGGAATAATAGACAGCGCATTGTGGGCGTGTAAACGGGAAACGAGCTTAAAAGTTGCAAAAGCAAAATAAAGATTGGCATAGATATGCACGTGATTGGAATGTAAGTTGGAAATTAAGTGGCTCCTGCGGCGCCAGGGAAACCAAATAAAAAAAAAAAAAAATACGAGAAGAAGAAGAAGCTGGAACGAACAGAACGAAATCTTTTTGCCAAAAACAATATATGTCATATACACAACACACACGAGCTGTTGACTGGGCTGGGCCGAAGACAAGCCAGAAATGGCCAACGAATTGAGTGGCACTGGCAAAACGGAAAATGAAATGCACATTAGCAGGGCGGGGGCGGTGCTGTAGTGGCGTAGTGGCGTAGGTACTCGCAGCAGCAAATGCCGATGGCATAAGCGTAGGAAGGAAATTGTTACGTAGGCCAAAAACGCAGCAAGCCAAAGCGAACGACGAAGCACAGCAAGTTGGCCCAAAGAAAAGCGCGCGCACAAATCGAAATAAATAAATAAAATCAAATGTTCTGTGGAAAAACTTTGGCTTCAGCCAAAAGCTAACTTAGGTGAAAAATCTACACCGCCTGCCGGCAACCGACGTCTCCCTCCCCCAGCTCGCACAAAGCGCTGAAATTACATCTTATGAGCGTCTGGAGGTTACGCTTTAGGGAGCAGCGACGTTCAGTCGACCAGCTGAAGAACTACCCACCCCAGTCGGGCAGGCAGTCAGCTAACTTGGCGTGTACGTAACGGCAGCGTAACGGAAACGGAAACAAAGCGATAAACTTTTGTTAGTGTAGCGAACACCAATCCACACTCGAGGCCCACGAGAGCGTAAAAGTGCGAAAGTGCGCGCACCACTGCGACCCACGTAGCACCAGGCACCAGGCAGAAGGCAGATAGCAGCAACAGCAGCAGCAATAGCAATAGCAGCAACAGCAACAGCAACAACAGCAATATCAGAGGCAAGCTTGCCTAGAAGCCATTGCTTTTCAAGCTATGCGTTGCCTTTGGTTGCGCCTTTTAAGACACAGGCAACAAAAAATGAAGCAGTTCCTAACGGAAGCAGCACAGTAACAGCACCAGCAGTAGCAGCAGCAGGAGCAGCAGGAGTAGCAATAGCAGTAGAAGCAGCAGCAGCAGCAGCAGCAGGAGTAGAAGTCGCAGTAGCAGCACTAGTAACAGTAAATACAACAACAACAAGAACAGCAGCTGCAGCAACAGCAGCGTGTAAATGTCGGCTAACACTTGGCTGCGTTTCCTGACAAAGAAAATAAGTCGAATGTGTGAGAAAGTGAGGCAGGCCTGACTGGGAAATACCCGGTAAACTAGCCAAAATATACCAACATATATAATTTGCGAATGGTTGAAGATTAATTAAGTATAAAAATAACAACAATAAAATAAATATATAATAAATATAAAAATAAAAACTAAAAAAAAAAAAAAATACAACAAAAAAGCAATATTAAATTTTAAAAAATAAATTAAATTAAAATAAAATTTAAATTAATATAAAATATAATAAAAATGAATTTAAAAAAATAAAACAAATTAAAATGAAATAAGGTTTAAGTAATAGTAAAATAATAATAAAATAACAAAAATTTAACTGATTAATTACTATAAACAAACAACAACAAATTTTAGATCAGATAAGGAATATTTTTAATAAATATCTATTTAGGTATCTTAAAATATACTCAATTGAAAAAAATTTTAAAATAATATTAGTATTAAATTTTAATAAATATATAATATTAATAATT